TTTATTACAAATCTATACAATTGGCCAGAATATGGTTGTTCATTTTTACAAAGCCATACAGATAGCTGTGTTTACCTTTTCTAGAAATTATTTTCAAATTCTGTTTCAGGCAAAATGTCTATCACTGTTCATTTTCACAAATCTATACAAGAGGGCAGAATATGGAAGTCTATAAAAATTTCTTATTACCAATAACTTGCATCAATGTTTTCAGTAGCCTCTATCAAAAGCTCCTGCTTGCTTGTTGTGAATTATGCTCAGGTGCACATATTTCCAATTCAACCATGAGGCCTTTTTGAAGCAAGTAATGTGTATATCAGTATTGACTTATATGCTGCCCCTGTCTTCATGTTGTTGCTGGACATATCTTTTTAAAAATGTGTGTAGGTCACCTAAATCATCAGAAAAATTGCCCCCCCTGAGAATTTTTTCAGGAGCCGCCACTGCCTAGGAGACAGAGAAGAGATTATGCTTGGAGTGATTAAGTGGTAGTCTGGGTACCAGTCTTTTTAGCTAACATTCCATTACTTGTACTCCTTGGCATATGACACAGAAAAAGCTACAAGGAGTGGAATGTTAGCAAAAAAGACTGGTACCCAGACTAATTAAGTGGGTTCAGATCACAATCTCAAGAAGTCAGACTAGTGTGAACCACTAGATGGCGCCATAACTTTCTGGTAAAACCATGGTTGGCACCAACACTCCTCCTGCTGAGAGAGAACGAAAAAGGTAAAGCTACATTTACAATTTGGACTTGAAAGGTATTTGGTTGATTTGACATAGAATAGCCTGTGTCTCCTCACCAGTAGATTTCTTCCTGTAGTAGATCAGTCCAGCTGCTATAAAGACCACCCCCAGCAGCAGCCCACAGGCCCCGATCACCATCTTATTCCTCTCAGGCTTAGGCAGGGAGGGGTCTGTAATTACACAAACAATTAAGACATACATTTTATAATAAATAGCCTTATAAACCCTCCCACCCAAGCACTCGTATCTCATTCAGACACTCCTAGTCCACGCATACACACACACACACACACACATACCCCAGTCATACAGTTTGGGCTCAGTGAGGCTGAAGTGCTCCACCATACAGGTGATTCTCTCTCCAGATGTGGGCGTGTACTCCAGGTGGGAGTGGATCTGGTAGGTCCAGTCCCCATTGGCCAGCTCCTCTGTGGAAGTCACATTTGCGGTCACTTCCTGTCCGTCCCTTAGCCACGTCACTCTGATGGGTTTGGGGTAGAAGCCGTAGGCGCTGCACAAGAGCATGGCCGGGTGTCTGGTACTGAACGGCTCCACTGACCTCAGTCTGATGTAGGGCTCAACTGGAGAGGGAAGAACACACTGGGTTCTTCAGGGCTCGCCTCATGCTCTTTTCACAACGTTCATCTGTCTCATCTAATATGTACTCCTCCTTATCACTACCATTGAGTATGTACTCATACATTCACCTCTTATCTAGTATGTACTCATACATTCACCTGTCTTATCTAGTATGTACTCATACACTCACCTGTCTTATCTAGTATGTACTCATACACTCACCTGTCTTATCTAGTATGTACTCATACACTCACCTGTCTTATCTAGTATGTACTCATACACTCACCTGTCTTATCTAGTATGTACTCATACACTCACCTGTCTTATCTAGTATGTACTCATACACTCACCTGTCTTATCTAGTATGTACTCATACACTCACCTGTCTTATCTAGTATGTACTCATACACTCACCTGTCTTATCTAGTAAGTACCCATACACCACAGGAACGTTGCTGCTGCAGTATTTCTTCATTTCTTCTCTCCTCTCAGCCAGAAAAGCAGGGCCTTTGCAGGCCGTTTCAGTGAAGTTCTTCATCCATTGTGTGTATACCGTACATTCTTCTGTTGTGCTGTTGTATTGTACCAGTAACTTCTTATTGCCGTAGACCTGTATCAGAAACTCAACATCATGGGGATCCTTGGAGCTGAACCCACACCTCATCTCATAGTGTCCAAAATAGCCATCTGTCAAATAAACAGTCACAAACAAGATGATTTCTGGAGGTCTCGTTTCTCTTCTTTCATAATATCATCTGATCAACAGACCAGAGAAATCAAAGAAATCCTGTGGATTTCACTCTTTACTTATCTATGTCTGTAGAAAGATTATAACATATAATAATTCTTTATCAAAATACAAACATGTTCAGTGCACAATTTCATCAGTGCACGATTACAAGAACACAGAGGATGACACACTTTGGCCAATATACTTAAATCAAGGGCGGAATTGTGGTGTAGATATTGGAGGGGGGACGAACAGTAGACGGGGGGGGGTCCTCCCCCGCAATGTTTTTGGACATTTTAAAATACATTTCCTGCGATTCTACACAGCTTGACATGATTTATTATGCTTCTCTTGAGGGGTGTTTTGAGGGATATATGGAGGGGTATTTTAAAAACACAGTAGAAGTGGAAGAAAAGTGTAAGCGCCCCCCCTCCCATAATAAAAATATATTTTTGGTGGAAAACATAAACAGCTAACTTCCTGTATTTCAAATGTTTTTGCCATGGGGCAGAGAGAAAAATGTGCAGTTTATAATGCTATTCTACACATTTTGTCATGAATCAGAGACAATTTTGCAGTTTGAAAGCTAATTTCCTGCTATTATAAACATTTTGCCATGTGGCAGAGAGAAATATTTGATGTTTTATAGCTCCTCTCATGCTATTCGTCACCTTTTGCCATGAGGATGAGTTTTTTTTCTTCAGTTTTAAAGCACATTTCCTGCTACTCTACACATTTTGCCATGAGGCTGAGAGAACATGTTGCAGTTTTAAAGTAACTGTCCAGTGAAAATCTCACTGTTAAAAGTGAATATTCAGTTAACTCATACCCAGATAATGTTGTTGACTCATCCTATACTTGTATTTGTGGCCAAAGCATAAATTAGAGAAAAAACACTTAAAAAACCCCAACTCAAACTTGTATCTCAACAGACCATTCAAAAATGCTTGCTATTTCCTCATAGACGATGATGTCATCCTCTTGAGGAGGATGATCTGGCCAATCAGCAGTCTACTCGCATTAATATTTTTAATGACTGGTATACGCCCACACCATTCTAACACAGAAAAGCTGCTTTTTAAGATACTTAATAAATTTAAAAAATAGGAAGGAAAACGATTTCACTCATATTGTAATTAATTATGGATCATATTTCATAGAAATCTGGAAACACTGGACAGTGACTTTAAAGGTCAACTTTTTGGGCAAAAAAACAACGGCTTTAAACTGTATAACTGATCAACGCACCATCAAACCAGGCCATGTAAAGTAAAAAAATAAATAAATGGATGAATAAGATATTTGGCTATAGAAGTGCCATTTCTTACCGATCTCTACAGCTTCCGTCCAAAAACAAATCCTGTGAAATGATATCAACACATACTTGATATCTACAAGTGGCTAGCTTAGCTAACGAACTAGCTATGTCGGTCACGGCACGCATGACCACAATGACAGCGATGAACCACCAAAGGCACACCCCATTTCTGTTTAAAAAATTTAGAAAGATGAGTTGGAAAATTTTTCGTGCCCAAAGTTGACTGTTAAAGCTAATTTCCTGCAATTCTACACATTTTGCCATTGTTTATGACGTGTTCATATGCTATCTTTTTTTATTTTAAAGAAATGACATGTCCGCCCATCCCCCGTGGCAACTTTGCCTATGACTTCAATCACTTCAGTCTCTCTGTACAGAGACCATAGTCAACATTAATCCAACATTTATCTCAATACTGCAAGTGTCTATAATGGCAGTCATTTTGCAAAGCTCAAGACGATAACTGAGACTTTGTGTATCTTGATCAATTCAAAGTCATTCTATGGTTCCTGTCGAACCTGATCACATCTATAGGACATTAGCAGATTTTTACTCACCTACTACAGACAGAGAGGAGAGGAGCACCAGGTGTATGGAGGAGAAATTCAGCACAGACATGTTTACGTCTCAGAGTTAGAAACCTCCTTCTGTGTCTCTATGTGGTTAATGTCGGCCTGTGTCTATAACGGAACAGAACAGAATGAGGAAACAGCTCTAAAGTCTTACAGGAAGTCATTTGTTATCATATTGCTATGCTCTCTCTCTCTCTCTCTCTCTCTCTCTCTCTCTCTCTCTCTCTCTCTCTCTCTCTCTCTCTCTCTCTCTCTCGCTCTCTCTCTCTCTCTCTCTCTCCCTCCCTCCCTCCCTCCCTCCCTCCCTCTCTCTCTCTCTCTCTCTCTCAGCATATCACAAAGCACTGCAATTCATGACTGATTATGTGTAATTACGTTACCAGCTAAAATATTGTAATCAGATGACAGATTATTTTGAGAAACTAGATGATTACTTCTTGGATGACTTTTAAATTCAGGAAGGATGTTTGTGAAAAAATACATTATGACACTTTCTGTTTTCTCAATAACATTCAATTCAGCATTGAAAAAAGGTGCAAGTTTAAGTTTGTCCGCCTGAGCGAGTCCTACCACAAGTCAGAGACCACTATGATGACACATCAAATGTGTTGGATGGATCCTTTTTGTCTTCTTCTAATGCCTCTTAAGGGGAAAGTAGCGAAACAGCTCTAAAGTCTTTCAGGGAGTCATTTGTTGTCGTATTGCTATGTTCTCTCTCTCTCTCTAAGCATATCACAAAGCACTGCAATTCATGACTGATTCCGTGTAATTACACACTAAATGTGTTGCATGGATCCTTTTTGTCTTCTTCTAATGCCTCTTAAAGGGAAAGTAACTGAAAGTAATCAGATTACGTTACTGAGTTTGTGTAATCCAAAAATTACATTACTGATTGCAATTTTGGACTGGTAACTAGTAACGGATTACATTTAGAAAGTAACTAACCCAACCCTGTTCATGATGAATGATTTCTTGACACCAGGAAAAGTCCCATAGCGATTATTGCATACAATAAAACTCTTATTGCCATCACTGTGTGTAAATATTAACCAACCTGCTACTTTACAGTCTTGTTTGGGTTTCTATTGTATTGGTCCCACAATAGCTCAGACATGTTCTCCCATTCTCACTCACAGTTTCAGTACATTGTATAAATCCTTCATACTTCCTCATGTGATCACGCTCTCTGTAGCCGATGTGAGTAAGACTTTTAAGCAGGTCAACATTCACAAGGCAACAGGGCCAGACGGATTACCAGGACGTGTACTCCGAGCATGCGCTGACCAATTGGCAAGTGTCTTCACTGACATTTTCAACATGTCCCTGACTGAGTCTGTAATACCAACATGTTTCAAGCAGACCACCATAGTCCCTGTGCCCAAGGACACTAAGATAACCTGCCTAAATGACTACCGACCCGTAGCACTCACGTCTGTAGCCATGAAGTGCTTTGAAAGGCTGGTCATGGCTCACATCAACACCATTATCCCAGAAACCCTAGACCAACTCCAATTTGCATACCGCCCCAACAGATCCACAGATTATGCAATATCTATTGCACTCCACACTGCCCTTTCCCACCTGGACAAGAGGAACACCTACATGAGAATGCTATTCATTGACTACAGCTCAGCGTTCAACACCATAGTGCCCTCAAAGCTCATCAATAAGCTAAGGACCCTGGGACTAAACATCTCCCTCTGCAACTGGATCCTGGACTTCCTGATGGGCCGCCCCCAGGTGGTAAGGGTAGGTAACAACACATCTGCCAAGCTGATCCACAATACGGGGGCCCCTCAGGGGTGCGTGCTCAGTCCCCTCCTGTACTCCCTGTTCACCCATGACTGCATGGCCAGGCACGACTCCAACACCATCATTAAGTTTGCCGACGACACAACAGTGGTAGGCCTGATCACCGACAATGATGAGACAGCCTATAGGGAGGAGGTCAGAGACCTGGCCGTGTGGTGCCAGGATAACAACCTCTCCCTCAACGTGATCAAGACAAAGGAGATGATTGTGGACTACAGGAAAAAAAAGAGGACTAAGCACACCCCCATTCTCATCGACGGGGCTGTAGTGGAACAGGTTGAGAGCTTCAAGTTCCTTGGTGTCCACATCACCAACAAACTATCATGGTCCAAACACACCAAGACAGTCGTGAAGAGGGCACAACAAAGCCTTTTCCCCCTCAGGAGACTGAAAAGATTTGGCATGGGGTCCTCAGAGCCTCAAAAGGTTATACAGCTGCACCATCGAGAGCATCCTGACTGGTTGCATCACCGCCTGGTATGGCAACTGCTCGGCCTCCGATCGCAAGGCACTACAGAGGGTAGTGCGTACGGCCCAGTACATCACTGGGGCCAAGCTTCCTGCCATCCAGGACCTCTATACCAGGCGGTGTCAGAGGAAGGCCCTAAAAATTATCAAAGAATCCAGCCACCCAAGTCATAGACTGTTCTCTCTGCTAATGCACGGCAAGCGGTACCGGAGCACCAAGTCTAGGTCCAAAAGGCTTCTTAACAGCTTCTACCCTCAAGCCATAAGACTCCTGAACAGCTAATCATGGCTACCCGGACTATTTGCATTGCCCCCCCATCCCACCCCAACCCCCTCTTTTACACTGCTGCTACTCTGTTTTTATTTATGCATAGTCACTTTAACTCTACCCACATATACATATTACCTCAATTACCTCGACTAACCGGTACCCCCTGTATATAACCTCCCTACAGTTTTTTTCTTTAAAACTGCATTGTTGGTTAAGGGCTTGTAAGTAAGCATTTCACTGTAATGTCTACACCTGTTGTATTCGGTGCATGTGGCAAATACAATTTGATGTTTACCACACAACTGATAGTTATTGGTAAATTGTGAAATGACATTCAAGTTCGTGATCATGTAAGTATTGATGATGGAGGGGTGAATTACCCACTTGCAGTGTACAATGTTGTAAGACGGGGGAACAATTAATGAATGCGATCCATCATGTATATTATTGCTGAATGTCTCAGGTTGGGTGAGATCATATTTATGATACCTTTGATTGTTCTGAAAAAATCATTTAGATTTTATTGACAGGAACAAATGTGAACTGTTACAGAGTAGCTCTTATATAATAATATTATTCACACTGGCGTACCACACACCCCTGCAGCCCCCCAGGGGGGGGGCTATGGGGGCCTCAATATTTTCTCTCAGCCTCATGGCAAAATATGTAAAATAGCATGAGATTAGCTATAAAACTGCAGACTGCAGTTAGCATAAAACTTTTAAGAAACTGTGGTACACGACTAATTCTTTGTCACATTGTTTACATACAACAGCAAAATAGGACTTTTTCAATTTAATATACATTACCAGTCAAGAGTGTGCAAAGCTGTCATCAAGGCAAAGGGTGGCTATTTGAAGAATCTCAAATATATTTTGATTTGTTGAACACTTTTTTAGTAACTACATAATTTCATATGTGTTATTTCATAGTTTTGATGTCTTCACTATTATTCTACAATGTAGAAAATAGTAAAAATATATAAAAACCCTTGAATGAGTAGGTGTGTCCAAACATTTGACTGGTAGTGTATGTCACAATTCAGTTGAACTGTTTTCCTTTGACGTAGAGGAATGTTCCGGTAGCCACCCCCAGCAGCCCCAGAGCCAGGCCCACTCCACAGAATACAGCAGGACCAGCACTGGACCCACTCACCTCACTGACCTCATACTCTGGGGGACAAGAGGAGAGAGGTGCCATCAAAACCAGGAAGAAATACATCTTTCAAAGATCATATATTGCAGTGGCAATACTTCATGGGGAAACATTACCCTGAGTTTCAGATTTTCTTATATCTGAGGGGCCTCTAAAGACCCAAGATAATTGAGTAAATACCCCATTTAGAGAAACAGTTTCTCACCCCAGAACCTGGTTTTGGGGTCCTTCAGGGCCGTGTGCTCCACAGTGCAGGCGTAGACGTCCCCCTCCTGTGGGGTGAAACTCAGGGTGGAGAACTGGTGGAACGTTCCATCTTTATTAGGATAGTACCGACTGAGAGACGCTCCCTCAGTCACCTCCAGGCCATTCTTGGTCCAATTAACTTTGACAGGCGGGGGGTAGAAATGATTGGCAAAACAGATAAGGGTGTTCTCCACCCCCAGCGCCTCCTCATCCCTGGGGTAGATGGTGCTCTCAGGGGCATCTGGGGGGTGGGGAATACAACCACTCGCTTTAAAATCAATCTCTCACTGTAATGCATAGGCATTTTTGTCACTTGTTATTTCACAGAAATTTTCGAAAAAGTTTTAATTATTGTCATAAAGTTGATTTGCTTTTTACCCTTTATCTCAGGTGGAGACTTTTCGTGGAATATCCAAAGAGCCAAGACATCCCGACACAATCGTCTGCCTTTGACTGCATTCTTGTAGAAGTTATGAACAACAGTGGAGCCTGGGAATGGCCCCAGGAACTCAGGCAACGTCCAAACTTCCTGTCCTCTCTGGAAGTCAGCATATAACACTTCCTCCCCATCCACCTGAACCTCCGCCTCTGCCTCCACCTTTGTCTTCTCAAGACAGCCCAGCACATAGACAACCTCATGAGGAACTGGAAACCCAAACAGATAATACATAAAAGTTCAGTTGAGTGATAAATACACCAAATCATTAACACCAGCTTCAATCTTTACAATGTGATTGATTCAAATACTGGTTCAAAGTCAGTTTTAAACCGTTATCACACTTTCTGTACTCAGTACTTTGAAGGAAATAGTATGATCCTGGCCCTAATTCAATTGGAATTAGATCAATAAAATACTTACTTTCTGTCGAAGTGCAGACGACCGCAGTGAGAACGACAATAGCCACAGAGAGGTTCATCTCAGTTTGTGAGCGTGTGGGAGAACTCTGCCGAGAACAAGGCACTGACACAACTCTTCCTCTCTTTCACTTTAGTCTCATCTACAGATACTACTGCTGAACATGCGTTATCTAGACTAGAACCAATCAGAACATTTCTTTCACTCTTACTGTATCCAGGAAGAAACAGTTTACAGACCATGAGAGTCGAGGACTCCTCTGGTGAACTAAGCACTATATTCCTGTTTTAACCACCTTATACCACCTGGAGGCACTGTCATCACCTACTGTATTTCTCTATTTAGAACTTAGAAGGCTGGATAAATCCAGTCTTCTTCTATAGGCTTTTTGATAAACCCTTTGAAATCTTGTTTGTTTTTCCTGGCCCAGTCAAAGCTGTCTGTGAATGGTCAAACACAGCTCAGACTAGACTGAACGATAACAGATATACCCAGAAAGACACAAGCAGAGAGATATAGTACAAGCATGATCTTGTGTCTCTCTGGGTAGCTCTGTGTAATCTTCTTTCTGGCTAACTGTCATTGATAAGCCTTGTCTGAGTATATCTCAACGTGGTAATTCACTTGATATAATTTACAATGACTGTTCTGAAGGCTTTGTGGGATCATACCGGTAGCTATTGTTACTTGTGTTTATTCAAGGAGTCTGACATATTACTGAGGTGTGGCGTCTGCGTTGTAGCCAGTACAGGTGTGGTAATTAAATAGCCTAGTCTCTGAGTTGCAATACAAGTAAGGCTCCATAGCTCAGTGGTTAGAGCACTGGTCTTGTAAACCAGGGGTCGCGAGTTCAATTCTCGCTGGGGCCTGACATATTTTGGCCCAGCTGATTTGTGACCCCGAGGCCGGTAGCACCTGTTGTCACACAACAGCAGCAGCCATTGGACTGTTGCTCTCTACAGTTAGCCAGCAACTCAAACTAACCCTGCCCCGGAAAACACATTAGGAAGTCTCTTTCTGCATCTCTCCTCTACTCAATTCCCTAGCTTATCTCCCTGTCTCGTCCCCAAGCCGAAAAACAACAGCATCCTTGAGAGAAACTCATCTTTTAAAGCTGTCATATCATATCCTTACAGCAGGTGGTAGTACAGAGTGATTACAGAATGTGCCACAACTAGTTTATTGAGTAAGGATAATAAGTATTTTGTTTTTTAAATAAATAAAAAAAACAGGTAACAATATGTTGAGTGTTGTGGTGTTATCTAACAGAGGGCAGATAAAACAAGTAGCAACACTATCATCACACAGCAACATGAGAAACACATAGAAACGTGATGATTTCAGACAGATCATGGAGCAATCATCATAGGAGGGTCAAGTTATTCACTTGTTTGTTTTTCCTGTAGACAGTAGCTAACTCAAAAGGTCTGTGTAGACAGCAGATAACTCTAAAGGTCTTCAATCTACTGAATGTGTTCATCAAATCCCCATCATGACATCGGCCAGATTGGGCGTGATACAGTCTCTTGACACTACAGACGCTTCCTTGTTGTTGAAATGGGGTCCAAGGTCTCTATTGGTTTTCAGTCTGTGTGAGAGTGTGAGTTCCCTCTCTTTGTAACAGTCCCTGTTGGTCCCTCTCCCCGAGAGTCTCAGACGCCTCCTAGACAGTGGAAACTGATCAAAGGTCAGTGTTGTGTTGTTCTCCCTAATGGTCAATGTCCCTCCCTGGCCAGGACAGACACTGGCTGAACTCCCATCTCCCAGCAGGCCTTGCGGTCAGGGTACAATGCAGGTGGCCTTGCGGAGCGCCAGGTAACCGGTGACGGCGTCAGTGGGGAGCAGGCGCAGGAAGGAGAACTCCTCAGATGACGTGAACCTCAGCTTGGTCTGGGGGTCCGTGTAATTGGCCTGACACATGGACACATTGCATAATGCAGTGAGTGTGTTTAGTTCAGCTGACACATACAAAATGACAATAGCTCATAGGGTGTCCATAAACATGTGTGAGGACTGGAGAACAGTCTGTATGTGTGTGTGTGTGTGTGTGTCAGTTACTCACAGGGAGTCCAGAGATGTCTGAGTATTTCTTGGCTGGCTTCAGGGAGGGGGGGGCATCGATGCTGTAGTCTGAACACAGCAGGGTCAAAGGTCAAACTCAGGCAATCAGAGAAGGCTCAGAAAGTATCAGGTCAGGTGTAATACTGCACAAAGAAGTAGCTTATAGTTACACAGCCTTCTGTTAAAATCCCCAAAATGAGCAATCATTTTCACTGTAAACATCTTTCAAAGCAGAAACATTGATCCAAAACATGTTTCACACACAAAATCAGACCCACTCACAACTGGGGTCATTGACCTTCCAGGGTAGAGTCCGTTCCACTGACAGGATCTGTTTCAAGTTTTTCCAGGTTCGGTTCTTTTTTCCTGCTGCAGCTCCCCCTATCCCTGAATGCTGTAGAGAAAAATGGGGGGAGAGAGAGGAGTGAGGCGAAGACAAGTGAGTGAAAGACAGAAAATGCTCTATCAACCAGTTATCATTTCACAAGTGCTCCCCCCAGTCTGCTCACCACAAATATGGGGTCTTTGAAGGGCAGGGGTTTGGCTGCAGGGTCAGTTGTGGCTGGAGCTACAGCGTCAGACACGCCCACTGCCTTCCCCTCAGACACCGCCTCCACTGCAGCCACCTACAGGGGTGGTTTAGCAGGACGCAACGTTTTGTAACGTTTAGATTGAAATATGCTATGTTTATACAACACGCCTCTCTGACATGTAAAATAAGTAATCACGTAGGCTCTATTCGTGGCATTTCTATCTGCAACGTTGTTTGGCAACTGAACGTGGCCCAGGGGACAGCTCAGCTGTTACATAACTAGTTACACCAACCAGTTTGGATAAAGTGCAGCCAGCATTACAAGCATTATGTAATCTCTCTACTTTTCAAGTTTGAGTGATCTTTGGTGTTTAGAAAAACAAAAGAGATTGATTATAATTTTGACTGCAGAATGTAGATCATAGTTTTCACTGGGACTTAACTGGAGATGTTAAATACGAGGTTAAAAAGTGGTGAAGTGACTATAACTGTATTTTATTGTAATGGGAGGACCTCTTACCACGCCCACTCAATTTTTGGTACTGTATCATCGAAATCAGAAACATTTTCATTGGCCTGTCTATGGGCGGCAGGTAGCTTAGTGGGTAAGAGCGTTGTGCCAGTAACCGAAAGGTCGCTGGTTCTAATCCCCGAGCCGACTAGGTGAAAAATCTGTCGATGTGCCCTTGAGCAAGGCACTTAACCATAATTGCTCTGGATAAGAGCGTCTGCTAAATGACCAATTATTATTATTATTTATTCCTCTGCGTATGTAGTAGCTTCCTAGCTAGCTAACTTGCAGCGAGGAAACTACCTGCGCTTGTGTCTGGTTTGCGATGGGCTGCTTCTTCTTCTTGCTGTTGTTCCCACTGGCCGGTAGAGCAGGAGAGGTGACCGTGTTAGCAGGTCGCTTCTTACCGCGGTGCCCGGCCGGGCTAGAAGCCACCACCAAAGTCTGTGTTTTACCAGCTGGCGAAGCCGTCACCGTGACTGTCCCTGCTACACCGGGATTATGGTTCGGAGAAGCCATTTCTCTGTAAATGATTAACGGAAGAAATAAAATGTTCATAAACACATGTTCTATTGTCTTTGAAAATATTTTCGAGTAATCGTCCCGCGGATAACCACTTCCGGGTCAAAACAATTTCTAAGGGCCTTCTTCTGCTTCTACTTCTTCTTCTTTTTTTAGGCTTTATGGCAGACTACAACCTTTTAGTGTATTGCCGCCACCTACTGTTTGGCTGTTTATCAGCCTACTATTCTGTATTATGAATTCATTACACTGTGAAAAATTGCCCTACCAACTAATGCAACACCCATTAAAACCTCACCATCACTCCACTACTTTGACCCTATCTGATCCTACACCAGGCCAACAGCCTGGGAGGACGGGACACTATCGCTAACAGCTTGTAACTGTTCTGCAGTACAATCATGTACACCCAAATACTTATCTGCAGCTGCCACCACAACATCTATCCTCTGTGATTTACGTCCCATTCCTGCGGAACGTACAGTTGAAGCTCATTTAATGTAGCCTACTTCTACACAATTTAAAAACTCTAAAATGCTATTTGGAGAACAACAAAAACAAACAAAAATGTCCCCCAGACATTATCACCGCAATATTAGGTTTATTTAGGTTTTATACTCAACCTCATCATACATAGGCTACATTGACTATTTTAGCCTACTTGTGGAACAGTGCATACAGTGCAACATGAAATAGATGCATAATACACGCTAAGGGCGACTTCAAATACCGACATCAATGTGAACTTAACCGGAGCATAAAACAACTGACTGCGAATGCAAACTATGCCAGATAAATCCTACACATGCATTGAAATAAAAGGCATACATTAAAGGAATTACGTAGGCCTACAATCGACAAGAACGCATAAAGACAAACAAAATCTACACATTAAGGCCGCGCGGTGATTCAGCACGGCTGAATGGACAGCGCCTCGGTACAGGTAGACATAGGGGAGCTCCGTGGGGTGTGGCTGAATGGACAGCGTCTCTGTCCAGTAGCCAGCTAGAATTAGGCTATTCAGTTTAGACATTTTCTGGGCACAGTTGAGTAGCCTACAATGCTTATATGAAAATCATAACTGGCATGGAGATCTTTAGAAATTGTAGGATAAATTGTAAACTGTCACTCATATGAAAAAGGTTGCAGACCCCCTGCTATAGGCTATATGAAGTCACTCTTGTGGAACGGCGTATACCATGTACTATGGCAGTGACATTGTCTTGTGCGCTTGCCACCAAAATTGTTGCTCTGCATTCAGAGATGTTCCTTATAATGTGTAAGCTCAGCATTCTGCGAATATTGAAGCATTCCATCAACAAGGTGTTTCTGAGAACATTGAAACACTGTATCAACGAACCAGGCGGCTCGGATTATATTGAAACATTTTGTATCAACAAGACTACTCCGAGAATATGAATATTGCAACATTGTAGGCAACGCGAAGGCAGGCCCGCGAACATTTCCCCTGGGGCCAGCTTGTCTCTGCCTGATATTATTGTGTTGCCTACGCAGCATATTGGTGCTCATTACATATATTTTTAAAACAGCCCTACATCCTCACTATAGATAAATAACTTAGCAATATTTAATTACGTTTTGTCAGTAAGATTGATCTGTTAGAATATCTCATTTTAATTCAGGAAGATGGACCAGCAAGACTGATAGAGGGAGAGGTGGAAATGCATTATACCAGAGGCAGGTAGGCTACAGGTAGGGATGCCAGCAGAGGATGGTGATGTAGGTCTACAGCAAAAAGTTAAAAGAGTTAGCCCAACTAGGTAATCATTCATTATGAATTATTTGCATTATCTCAATTATCATTCTGTCAGCTGCATGACAATGCACATTTGTTATAGCCTACAATTGTTATTGTCTTTGAAGCCAAAAACAAGACTTGTATTTTTGGGAAATGCTCTAAGTAGCAAGTTGTTCAGTTGTTTATTTTCATACCAATAGGCCTACATGAAACCAAAATTGCACTAGCCTACTGGGCGAATAAATTAAAATAACAATTTTAAAATAGGTTGTGATAGTGCGCAATTGGCGCACTGCCTAAACAGCTGACCTGCAAAGCAAATGGCACTATCTGCCTTCTGCTTTCTAAAAGTGACAGAAAATGCACACAGCTGCTCTATTTTTTTATTTTATTAATAGTTTATTTTATTTACATTTTTCAGGGCGTGCTGCAGCACCCTCAGCACCCCTACTTCCTGTGGCTCTGCTCTGCACTACTCTGAACCTGGCAACCTCAACCTGCCTCTGTCTCACCTGAAGCCAGCAACATGGGCACCCCCACAGTTTACACCCACCACTTTTTCCACCGTTACTATACATTCCTATGTCTCATGTCCTCCTGCACACTTCTCACATCTAGGAATCTCCCTCCTACACACTTCTGCAACATGAGCTTTACATCTGAAACACCTTAGTGGGTTCTGCACAAAAGCTTTCACAGGATAACTGACACATCACAACTTAACTTTATCAGGTAAAGACTCTGCATCAAAACTTAGCGGGACAGACAAATTCGTCTGTGTTTCACCACGCTCTCCACCGGCTATGAGTCGCACCAAACTGCGGGCGTCACATGCACGGAGAATCTTCCATTTCAGTTGCTCCTCCTAAACACTTAATGCCACCACAGTTATCACTCCTTTCAATGGCTCCAAGCTTGATACGCGGAGGTGTCATAATACCCATAAAACCTAGCGGTCAAACAGGGAAATGATTGCAATCCTTTTTCCACCCTTCATTTTTCCCATAGGGGATTTTAGAAACACTTAAGGGCTGTGTTTCGTGTAGACTTACCCTGGTGTGACGTTTTGATAACCATGTAAATCCCTCTCGGACAATTTGACTTTTATCAATATATTAGGCTCTATTTACTCTCAGATTCGAAAATGCTAATTACCATCAAAGTAGACATCATGCAAGACTACAAATCCCTGCAAGCTCCTGCACGTTTGCTAACAATGTACCAATTTATTCATTACTACATTTAGCTAACATTAGATAGTTAATCCAGAGATTCTTACCTTTGCCTCGATTCAGCAGTCTCGCCCAGATCATGATGGCATTTGTAGTTCTTTATGAACTACATTACCAGTCAAAGGTTTGAACACACGTACTCATTCAAGGGTTTTTATTTATTTTTACATTGTAGAATAATAATGAAGACATCAAAACTATGAAATAACACATATGGAATCATGTAGTAACCAACAAAGTGTTAAACAAATCAAAATATGTTTTATATTTGAGATTCTTCAAATAGCCACCCTTTGCCTTTGAAGTCAGCTTTGCACACTATTTGGTCACAAAAAAATGGAAGAAGGAGAAATCTTAAATTGCACCACCATCTAACCCTGCACCTATACACTTGCAGCATTCAAAACAACTGTGAAATGGGAACTCGGAAGTCTCAGACTTCAAGACAACTGGGAAGTCGGGGAAAAAACAAGCTCCGACTGAGGATTTTTTTATTTTTACGGTCCAAATCAGAATTCCAAGTCAGAAACTCTGGCATCTTTCTAGAGCTCCAACTTTCTGGCCTAAAGATCACTGACGCCATGATTTGACCTTGTTTTTTCAGAGTTCCCAGTTGTCTTAAAAACACCAACTATCCCCAAAAACCCACCACCCCATCCCACTACTTTCAAGCTAAACGATCCTACATCAGGCCGTTGGCCTGGGAGGATGGAACCCCCCCCTCTCAAAACTCCCTGTAGATCTTCTGCACTAAAATCGATCACACCCAAATATTTCTCTGCTGCTGCAATTACCACATCTATCTTCTGTCATTTCCGTTCCATTTCAACATGGCTATAAACGCAGGAAATCCAACTTTACTAAAACTCATACTCTCTGGATCTCTCTCTTCAAAACAAATCTAATTTTATTGGTCACATACACATATTTAGCAGATGGTATTGCGGGTGTAGCGAAATGCTTGTTGTCTTCAGGCCTACTCACTGGGAGGCTCCCAGTCAAATCACTCACCCTTGGGCTATCCTCTAATCTCTTCCCCCTAATTCGAACTCTGGCAATCTCAACCCTTCTCTCTCTCACAGGGCACTTTGGATCCCCAGCTGCATGGTCGCCTCCACAGTTGTCACTCTGTGCTTTCTCTATCCCAACTTTACACTCCCTCTGACTATGTCCTCCTGCACATTTCTCACATTGTGGGATCTCCCTTCTACACACTGCTGCAACATGTCCAAATCCTCGGCACCTAAAGCACCGTAGAGCGTTCGGAACATAGCATGATGGCAGATTTCACAGATGTATGGGCATTCTCCTGTCTGCAATCGTGTTTGCAGCCTCAGTTCTCCAGAGGCAAGGAATGCCTTTCCACATATGCTACATAAATAATTTCTCTCTCCTTTATGCATCCGCAGGTGTTTCATTAGTATTTGGTCTTGTGACCAACCGCGTCCCACAAACAGTGCAGCAGTGAGGACGCTCCCCAGTGTGTGTACGCACATGCAGTTTGAGTGTAAAAGCACCTCTAAATCCCCTATCACAGTATGAGCAATCAAGGTTTTTTTCTCCTGTGTGAATTCTCTGGTGTATTTCCAGACTGCTCTGCTTAGCATAACGTTTCTCACACTGGTTAAAATGGAATGGCAGTTTATGAGTTCTAAAATGTCGCTGTAGTTGATATGCAAATTTGAAAACCTTTCCACATAGGGTGCAAGTTGGAGTCCACTTGTTGGAGCCCCTTTTTGTCTTGCGCTGGGGAAGAGGGTTATCAGTTTCAGCTTCTTTAGAGACAAGACACTTGCTGTCCGTCCCTTGATGCTTGGTCCTGATGTGCTGGTGAAGTTCGGCCATTTTACTGTGAGAAAAGGAGCACCTCGAGCAGGCAAGGACCCGGGATGGCATGTCACCATTCATTCCTGTAGGGATGAAATACAAGAGAGCAGATTACATAGGACATTACATATTAGGTCCTATTGGACATCTTCCTTAATGAGCATTTGAAGAGCGATTTCAATTCTCTAATACTTCCTCACTCAAATATAACTTTATTAATCCAAGTACAACAGAAGTTGTTTGCTAAAACAGTACACACCCCACCGGGCAGCCCCAGTCTGCCATTTCAACAGCCTGACCCTGTTACTTTGTTTGGTGAGATGAGTGATGTGGCTGGGGAAATGTAGCCACTTTCACATTCATTGATAGAGCTATGGATGTCACGGTTTCGGCCGAGGCTGCTCCTCCTCCTTGTTCGGGCAGGTTTCGGCGGTCGTCGTCTCCGGAGTACTAGCTGCCACCGCTCTATGTTTCTTGTTTGATTGGTTTTGTCTGTTTGTCACACCTGTTTTGTGTTATGTCTCAATTAGCACCCTATTTAGTTTCCTTGTTGTTAGTTAGGTGTTGTGTGTAATTGTTCTATGTCGTGTTGCTGCGCTGCATGTATTTTGGTGCGCTATTTTGTGCTTTCCTCCTTGTTTGTGTTTTAGGAGTAGATGACGCACTTGTTAATTGCGCCCGTTTGTTTACGCCTGTGCGCGCTTTTCTCGCCTCCGGGCTGGTTTTGGATATTTGTTGTGATATCTACTAAAGTATTTTTGTTGGACTTTACTTCTGCCTCCTGCGCCTGATTCCACACCACACCTACCATAGCAACTCCTGACAGAATTACACACCTCTTTATGGAATCAGCAGGAGCACCCACCGACATCATGGAGGAACGTCTTCGCGGTCAAGAGGATCGAATCAATCAGATCGGGCACGCCTTGGACCGCGTAATGAACACCCTCCATCGATGGGAAACCAGCGGGGTACCCACACCCCCACCTATCGCACCATCACCATCGGACAGCCCGCCCGTCCAACTACCGGAACCCAGTGGGATTCGGCTCTCGCTCCCGAGGGCGTACGACGGCACCGCTGCCGGGTGTCAGGGGTTCCTATTACAAGTGGAACTCTACCTTGCCACCATACACCCGGCGCCCTCGGGATACGAGAGCGTTTCCGCCCTCATCTCCTGTCTCACCGGCAAGGCGTTGGAGTGGGCCAACGCCGAATGGAGGGGAATAGACGCCGCCACAGTCACCTATGCGGAGTTCTCCCGCCGCTTCCGTGCTGTCTTCGACCATCCACCAGAAGGGAAGGCGGCGGGGGAGCGTCTATTCCACCTCCGACAGGGGATGAGGAGCGCTCAAGAGTTTGCGCTGGAGTTCCGGACTCTAGCGGCCGATGCAGGGTGGAATGAGAGGGCCCTCATAGACCACTTTAGATGTAGCCTTCGGGAGGACGTCCGCAGGGAGTTAGCGTGCAGGGATACTACACTAACATTTGACCAGCTGGTGGACATGGCCATTCGGCTGGACACCCTGCTCGCGACCCGCGGACGTCCCAGGTGGGGGCCTCCCATTCCACCCTCCAGCGCCTCCGAGCAGAGCCCGATGGAGCTTGGAGGTGCTGGCGCTAGAGGGAAGAGAGGAAGGAACCCGAGGGGGGCAGTCTCCTGCACCAACTGTGGCCGCGGAGGGCACACCGCGGCTAGGTGCTGGGGAGGGTCCCCTGGTGAGGGAGATGGCAGGTCACACATTGGGGAGTCCTCCCAGGTGAGTAGGCGCCCTACTTACCCAGAGCTTTCTGTCGTACACATTACATTACCTGTTTGTTTCCCACAGGTTGCACCTCGTTCCCAGCATAAGGCGCTAGTCGATTCAGGCGCAGCTGGGAATTTTGTAGATCGTAAATTCTGTGTTAAGTTAGGGATTCCCCTCCTTCCAGTCGATAAACCCTTCCCTGTACATGCCTTAGATAGTCGTCCGTTAGGATCTGGGTTAATTGGGGAGGTCACGGCGCCACTTAGGATGATGACGCATGGGGGTCATGAGGAGACGATTCAACTCTATCTGATCGACTCTCCTGCGTATCCGGTGGTACTGGGGCTTCCCTGGTTGATTACCCATGATCCTACGATTTCGTGGCGAGAGAAGGCTCTTAAAGGGTGGTCTGCTCAGTGTGAGGGGCTATGTCTGGGTGTTTCCGTAGGGGCGACCTCGGTGGAGAGCCCGAACCAGATGCCAGCTCTGCACATTCCGCCTGAGTATGAGGATTTGGCACTCGTGTTTAGTAAGACCAGAGCGGCAAGGTTGCCACCTCATAGACAGGGGGATTGTGCGATAGACCTCCAGACAGGAGCTGCGCTCCCGCGGAGCCATGTGTATCCTTTGTCACAGGAGGAGAAAAGGGCAATGGAGACTTACATTGCCGAGTCTCTGAGACAGGGATACATACGGCCCTCCACTTCTCCCGCGTCCTCGAGCTTCTTTTTTGTGAAGAAAAAGGATGGAGGTTTGCGTCCGTGTATTGATTACCGCGGTCTCAATCAGGTGACTGTGAAATATAGTTATCCACTCCCGCTGATTGCGACCATGACGGAGTCATTACATGGGGCACGGTTCTTCACAAAATTGGACCTCAGGAGCGCATATAACTTGGTGCGCATTAGGGAGGGCGATGAGTGGTAGACAGCATTTAGTACTACCTCCGGCCATTACGAGTATCTCGTCATGCCATATGGGTTAATGAATGCTCCATCAGTCTTCCAATCGTTTGTAAATGAGATTTTCCGGGACATGCAGGCGCAGGGAGTAGTGGTGTACATAGATGATATTCTTGTGTACAGTTCTACTCGGGCCGAGCATGTAGCCCTGGTGCGCAGGGTATTGAGGAGACTGTTGGAGCATGACCTGTATGTCAAAGCCGAGAAATGTCTGTTCTTTCAGGAGTCAGTCTCCTTTTTGGGTTACCAGTTGTCTGCGTCAGGGGTGAGAATGGAGGTGGACCGAGTGTCCGCTGTGCGTAATTGGCAAACCCCAACTACGGTTAAAGAGGTGCAGCGGTTCTTGGGTTTTGCGAATTACTACCGGAGGTTTATCCGGGGTTTTGGACAGGTGGCAGCTCCCATAACGTCTCTTCTTAAGGGGGGTCCGGTGCGCTTGCAGTGGTCGGCTGAGGCGGACAGGGCCTTTGGGAGACTGAAGGACCTGTTTACCTCGGCTCCGGTGCTGGCGCACCCGGATCCCACTTTACCCTTCCAAGTAGAGGTGGAAGCGTCTGAGGCCGGTATCGGGGCAGTTCTTTCACAACGGTCCGGCACACCACCTAAGCTCCGCCCCTGTGCTTTTATTTCTAAGAAGCTCAGTCCGGCGGAGCGGAATTATGACGTAGGGGACAGGGAGCTGTTAGCCGTAGTACAGGCCCTAAAGGTGTGGAGGCATTGGCTTGAGGGGGCTCAGCACCCTTTCCTCATTCTGACCGACCACCGTAACCTGGAATACATTCGGGCAGCTAGGAGACTGAATCCTCGCCAGGCTCGATGGACTATGTTTCTCGCCCGGTTTGTGTTCGAGATCACTTACATCCCTGGGTCCCAGAACGGGAAGGCAGATGCCCTGTCCCGGCGGTATGACACGGAGGAGAGGTGCGTGGAGCCCATCCCCATACTACCGGAGTCTTGTCTGGTGGCACCGGTGGTGTGGGAGGTCGATGCGGAGATCGAGCGGGCATTACGCACCGACCCTAGCCCTCCACAGTGTCCGGTGGGTCGGACGTACGTCCCGCTCGAGGTCCGGGATCGGCTGATTTATTGGGCTCACACGTCCCCCTCCTCTGGACATCCAGGTATTGGCCGGACAGTGCACTGCCTTAGTACGAAGTACTGGTGGCCAACGTTAGCCAGGGATGTGAGGGTTTATGTCTCCTCCTGCTCAGTGTGTGCCCAGTGTAAGGCGCCCAGACACTTGCCCAGGGGTAAATTACAACCTCTGCCCGTTCCACAACGACCCTGGTCTCACCTCTCGGTGGATTTTGTTACCGACCTTCCCTCCTCTCAAGGGAATACCACCATCCTGGTCGTTGTGGATCGGTTCTCGAAGGCCTGTCGTCTCCTTCCCATGCCGGGTCTTCCTACTGCCCTACAGACCGCTGAGGCTCTATTTACTCACGTCTTCCGGCATTACGGGGTACCCGAGGATATAGTGTCTGATCGAGGCCCCCAGTTTACCTCCAGAGTCTGGAGAGCCTTTATGGAACGGTTGGGGGTCTCTGTGAGCCTTACCTCGGGTTACCACCCGGAGAGTAATGGGCAGGTCGAACGAGTCAACCAGGATGTGGGTAGGTTTCTGAGGTCATATTGTCAGGGCCGGCCGGAGGAGTGGGCGAGATATGTGCCCTGGGCCGAGATGGCACAGAACTCTCTCCGCCACTCCTCCACGAGACTAACCCCTTTCCAGTGTGTGTTAGGGTACCAGCCGGTTCTGGCACCGTGGCATGAGAGCCAGATCGAGGCCCCTGCTGTGGATGAGTGGGTGCGGCGCTCGGAGGAGACGTGGAACGCTGCACACGTCCATCTGCAGCGAGCCATCCGTCGACAGAAGACGAGCGCCGACCTACACCGCAGTGAGGGGCCAGTGTACGCACCTGGAGATCGAGTCTGGCTCTCAACCAGAAACCTGCCCCTCCGCCTGCCCTGCCGGAAGCTGGGTCGGCGGTTTGTGGGGCCTTTTAAAGTCCTGAGGAGATTGAACGAGGTGTGTTACAGGTTACAACTGCCCATTGATTACAAGAATATTAACCCCTCGTTCCATGTGTCTCTCCTCAGGCCGGTGGTAGCTGGTCCACTCCAGGACTTTGAGATTGAGGAGACTCCTCCGCCCCCGTTGGACATCGAGGGGGCTCCGGCGTACACTGTTCGGACCATCCTGGATTCGAGACGCCGGATGGGGGGTCTCCAATATCTCGTGGAGTGGGAGGGGTACGGTCCGGAGGAGCGGTGCTGGGTGCCGAGGAGGGACATTCTGGATCCGTCCCTGCTGACCGAATTCCATCGTGGTCATCCTGCGCGCCCTGCTCCGCGTCCTCCTGGTCGTCCCCGAGGCCGGGGGCGGCGCATGGCTGGAGCCGCGCGTCAAGGGGGGGGTACTGTCACGGTTTCGGCCGAGGCTGCTCCTCCTCCTTGTTCGGGCAGGTTTCGGCGGTCGTCGTCTCCGGAGTACTAGCTGCCACCGCTCTATGTTTCTTGTTTGATTGGTTTTGTCTGTTTGTCACACCTGTTTTGTGTTATGTCTCAATTAGCACCCTATTTAGTTTCCTTGTTGTTAGTTAGGTGTTGTGTGTAATTGTTCTATGTCGTGTTGCTGCGCTGCATGTATTTTGGTGCGCTATTTTGTGCTTTCCTCCTTGTTTGTGTTTTAGGAGTAGATGACGCACTTGTTAATTGCGCCCGTTTGTTTACGCCTGTGCGCGCTTTTCTCGCCTCCGGGCTGGTTTTGGATATTTGTTGTGATATCTACTAAAGTATTTTTGTTGGACGTTACTTCTGCCTCCTGCGCCTGATTCCACACCACACCTACCATAGCAACTCCTGACAATGGATGCAAGTATTAATAGTATATGAGATTGGTATTATAGTTTAAAAAAATTATTTGAAGCTATTAATTGTAAACAAGTATTTTGAAAAAATCTGGAAGAAGAGTTACATTTTCATAACTCATAACTCTAAATCGTCTTCCCGACTTGTCAGTTAAACTGTGAGTAAAAGACACCTTGAGTCACCACCCGTGTATCGCAGCTGTTGTGATGGCTGTAACTGAGCTATCTTTTGCACTCCATTTATCTTCATATACTTTAAATGTTTACAAATAAAAGTGGATGAATGTGTGACTGATTTAAATGTTCTTACCATCGCTGGGCCCTGGAATAAACGAAGTGGAGGACTCTGCAAGTGATAAGCCCTCCTCTTCCCGTTGCTCCAAGTTTGATAGTCTTATATCATCCAATCATCTAGCAGCGCCTTCATCCAGACTCTCATCACTTCTTTCATTGTTGTCTTCGTCTTCCCAGTCTGGATCACTCTGCCTCTCTCCTATTTCTTCTTCCTCCTCTCTGCCCCCATTAAGTTGTCCTTCTCTCTCTTCTCTGTTTCCTTCTCTCTCCGATTCGTTCCGAATGCATTCATCTGCATTTGGGCATGCCCTCATATGGCCAGAGCTGTCCTGCTCAGAGCCAATGACAACTCTTATTTTTGGAGGGAAAGACAGCGTAGACAGGATGGTATCTGCAGTGAAATGAAAGGTATGACCTGGGAGAAAGAACACAGACCTGTATATTAAACTCTTCCTACGAAAACCTTCCTTCTGTCTAGGAAACAAGAACCAGTCCCCTACGGCTAGTTTCTGGAGCTATTCCTTTATCTCTTGTGTTAAAATTGATTGGCTTGAAAGACCATACATCTGGATTCCCAAGTTATTAGGAAAGGTGGACAATGTGACTCTAGAGTTGACCATGATAACCTGGATGGAGACACTTACTATTGTTCAGGTTTCCATGACGCTGATGGTGCTGCAGCAGTGTCTTCAGCTGTTCACCGTCCAAGACTGTCTGTCCACATTCCTCCAGGACAGAGGAGGCAGCACCGAACCATTCTGCTGTCTGAGAGAAGCAGGCCAGTGGGTTTATAAGGTAATGAGAATTTGATTTACACACCATGTTCTATCTGTCTTTTAGAACTGAGAGGATGTACTAGTCTGTATCTATCTGTCTTTTAGAACTGAGAGGATGTACTAGTCTGTACCTGTCTGTCTTTTAGAACTGTGAAGATGTACTAGTCTGTATCTATCTGTCTTTTAGAACTGAGAAGATGTACTAGTCTGTATCTATCTGTCTTTTAGAATTGAGAAGATGTACTAGTCTGTATCTATCTGTCTTTTAGAACTGAGAGGATGTACTAGTCTGTATCTATCTGTCTTTTAGAACTGAGAGGATGTACTAGTCTGTATCTATCTGTCTTTTAGAACTGAGAGGATGTACTAGTCTGTATCTGTCTTTTAGAACTGAGATGTACTAGTCTGTACTGTCTTTTAGAACGAGGATGATAGTCTGTTCTTTTTAGAACTGAGAGGATGTACTAGTCTGTATCTATCTGTCTTTTAGAACTGAGAGGATGTACTAGTCTGTATCTATCTGTCTTTTAGAACTGAGAGGATGTACTAGTCTGTATCTATCTGTCTTTTAGAACTGAGAGGCTGTACTAGTCTGTATCTGTCTTTTAGAACTGAGAGGATGTACTAGTCTGTATCTGTCTGTCTTTTAGAACTGAGAGGAAGTACTAGTCAGTATCTATCTGTCTTTTAGAACTGAGAGGATGTACTAGTCTGTATCTATCTGTCTTTTAGAACTGAGAGGATGTACTAGTCTGTATCTATCTGTCTTTTAGAACTGAGAGGATGAACTAGTCTGTATCTATCTGTCTTTTAGAACTGAAGAGGATGTACTAGTCTGTAATCTGTCTTTTAGAACTGAAGGATGTACTAGTCTGCTATCCTGTCTTTTTAGAACTGAGAGGATGTATCTATGTCTGTATCCTGTCTTTTAGAACTGGAGAGGATGTACTAGTCTGTCAATCTGTCCTTTTTAGAACTGAGAGGAATGTACTAGTCCTGTATCTATCTGTTTTTTAGAACTCGATACGATGTTACTTGTCATGTATCCTAATCTGTCCGTTTAGAACGGAGAGGATGTACTTTGTCGGTATCTATCTGTCGGCTTAGAACTGAGAGGATGTACTAGTCCTGTAATCTGTCTGTCTTTTAGAAACTGAGAGAAGTACTAGTCAGTATATATCTGTCTTTTAGAACTGAGAGGATGTACTAGTCTGTATCTAATCTGTCTTTAGAACTGCAGGATATGTACTAGTCTGTATCTATCATGATCTTGTAGAGGACTGAGAGGCCGTACTAGTCTGTACCATATCATGATCTTTTAGAACTGAACTGAGGATGTACTAGTCTGTACCTGTCTGTCTTTTAGAACTGAGAGGATGTACTAGTCTGTATCTGTCTTTTAGAACTGAGAGGATGTACTAGTCTGTATCTGTCTTTTAGAACTGAGAGGATGTACTAGTCTGTATCTATCTGTCTTTTAGAACTGAGAGGATGTACTAGTCTGTATCTATCTGTCTTTTAGAACTGAGAGGATGTACTAGTCTGTATCTATCTGTCTTTTAGAACTGAGAGGATGTACTAGTATGTATCTATCTGTCTTTTAGAACTGAGAGGATGTACTAGTCTGTATCTATCTGTCTTTTAGAACTGAGAGGATGTACTAGTCTGTATCTGTCTTTTAGAACTGAGAGGATGTACTAGTCTGTATCTATCTGTCTTTTAGAACTGAGAGGATGTACTAGTCTGTATCTATCTGTCTTTTAGAACTGAGAGATGTACTAGTCTGTATCTATCTGTCTTTTAGAACTGAGAGGATGTACTAGTCTGTATCTATCTTTTAGAACTGAGAGGATGTACTAGTCTGTATCTATCTGTCTTTTAGAACTGAGAGGATGTACTAGTCTGTATCTATCTGTCTTTTAGAACTGAGAGGATGTACTAGTCTGTATCTATCTGTCTTTTAGAACTGAGAGGATGTACTAGTCTGTATCTGTCTGTCTTTTAGAACTGAGAGGATGTACTAGTCTGTATCTATCTGTCTTTTAGAACTGAGAGGATGTACTAGTCTGTATCTATCTGTCATTTAGAACTGAGAGGATGTACTAGTCTGTATCTATCTGTCTTTTAGAACTGAGAGGATGTACTAGTCTGTATCTATCTGTCTTTTAGAACTGAGAGGATGTACTAGTCTGTATCTATCTGTCTTTTAGAACTGAGAGGATGTACTAGTCTGTACCTATCTGTCTTTTAGAACTGAGAGGATGTACTAGTCTGTATCTGTCTTTTAGAACTGAGAGGATGTACTAGTCTGTATCTATCTGTCTTTTAGAACTGAGAGGATGTACTAGTCTGTATCTGTCTTTTAGAACTGAGAGGATGTACTAGTCTGTATCTGTCTTTTAGAACTGAGAAGATGTACTAGTCTGTATCTGTCTGTCTTTTAGAACTGAGAGGATGTACTAGTCTGTATCTATCTGTCTTTTAGAAATGAGAGGATGTACTAGTCTGTATCTATCTGTCTTTTAGAAATGAGAGGATGTACTAGTTGAGGTAGTTGAAGTAATATGTACATGTGGGTAGAGTTAAAGTGACTATGCATAAATAATTAACAGAGTAGCAGCAGCGTAAAAAGATGGGGTGGGGGGTGGGGGGGGCAGTGCAAATAGTCCGGGTAGCCATGATTAGCTGTTCAGGAGTCTTTTGGCTTGGGGGTAGAAGCTGTTGAGAAGTCTTTTGGACCTAGACTTGGCACTCCGGTACTGCTTGCCGTGCAGTAGTAGAGAGAACAGTCTATGACTAGGGTGGCTGGAGTCTTTGACAATTTTGAGGGCCTTCCTCTGACACCGCCTGGTATACATTTACATTTACATTTTAGTCATTTAGCAGACGCTCTTATCCAGAGCGACTTACAGTTAGTGAATACATTTTTTTTTTTTATACTGGCCCCCTGTGGGAAACGAACCCACAACCCTGGCGTTGCAAACGCCATGCTCTATCAACTGAGCTACATCCCTGCCGGCCATTCCCTTCCCTACCCTGGACAACGCTGGGCCAATTGTGCGCCGCCCATGAGTCTCCCGGTCGCGGCCGGCTGCGACAGAGCCTGGATACGAACCAGGATCTCTAGTGGCACAGTTAGCACTGCGATGCAGTGCCTTAGACCACTGCGCCACTCAAGAGCCCATATAGGGGTCCTGGATGGCAGGAAGCTTGGCCCCAGTGATGTACTGGGCCGTACGCACTACCCTCTGTAGTGCCTTGCGGTCGGAGGCCGAGCAGTTGCCATACCAGGCGGTGATGCAACCAGTCATGATACTCTCGATGGTGCAGCTGTAGAATGTTTTGAGGATCTGAGGACCCATGCCAAATCTTTTCAGTCTCCTAAGGGGGAATAGGCTTTGTCGTGTCCTCTTCACGACTGTCTTGGTATGTTTGGACCATGATAGTTTGTTGGTGATGTGGACACCAAGGAACTTGAAGCTCTCAACCTGTTCCACTACAGCCCCGTCGATGGGAATGGGGGCGTGCTCAGTCCTCTTTTTTTCCCTGTAGTCCACAATCATCTATTTTGTCTTGGTCACGTTGTGGGAGAGGTCTCTGACCTCCTCCCTATAGGCTGTCTCATCGTTGTCGGTGATCAGGCCTACCACTGTTGTGTCGTCGGCAAACTTAATGATGGTGTTGGAGTCGTGCCTGGCCATGCAGTCATGGGTGAACAGGGAGTACAGGAGGGGACTGAGCACGCACCCCTGAGGGGCCCCAGTGCTGAGGATCAGCGTGGCAGATGTGTTGTTACCTACCCTTACCACCTGGGGGCGGCCCGTCAGGAAGTCCAGGATCCAGTTGCAGAGGGAGGTGTTTAGTCCCAGGATCCTTAGCTTAGTGATGAGCTTTGAGGGCACTATGGTGTTGAATGCTGAGCTGTAGTCAATGAATAGCATTCTCACATAGGTGTTCCTCTTGTCCAGGTGGGAAAGGGCAGTGTGGAGTGCAATAGAGATTGCATCATCTGTGGATCTGTTGGGGTGGTATGCAAATTGGAGTGGGTCTAGGGTTTCTTGGATAATGGTGTTGATGTGAGCCATGACCAGCCTTTCAAAGCACTTCATGGCTACAGACGTCAGTGCTACGGGTCGGTAGTCATTTAGGCAGGTTATCTTAGTGTCCTTGGGCACGGGGACTATGGTGGTCTGCTTGAAACATGTTGGTATTACAGACTCAGTCAGGGACATGTTGAAAATGTCAGTGAAGACACTTGCCAGTTGGTCAGCACATGCTCGGAGTACACATCCTGGTAATCCGTCTGGCCCTGCGGCCTTGTGAATGTTGACCTGCTTAAAAGTCTTACTCACATTGGCTACGGAGAGCGTGATCACATAGTCATCCGGAACAGCTGGTGCTCTCATGCATGCTTCAGTGTTTCTATCCTCGAAGCAAGCATAGAAGTGGTTTAGCTCGTCTGGAAGTCTTGTGTCAATGGGCAGCTCGTGGCTGTGCTTCCCTTTGTAGTCTGTAATAGTTTTCAAGCCCTGCCACATCCGACGAGCAAAAGAGCCGGTGTAGTACGATTCAATCTTAGTCCTGTATTGACTCTTTGCCTGTTTGATGGTTCGTCGGAGGGCATAGCAGGATTTCTTATAAGCGTCCGGGTTAGAGTCCCGCTCCTTGAAAGCGGCAGCTCTACCCTTTAGCTCAGTGCGGATGTTGCCTGTAATCCATGGCTTCTGGTTGGGGTATGTACGTACGGTCACTGTGGGGACGACATCATCGATGCACTTATTGATGAAGCCAGTGACTGATGTGGTGTACTCCTCAATGCTAATGTTCAATCTTTAGTTAACAAAGTCAACGAACTACGAGCAAGGATTTCTTTCCAGAGAGACATCAAGGCCTGTAACATACTCTGTTTCACGGAAACATGGCTCTCTTGGGATATTCTGTCGGAATCGGTCCAGCCAGATGGGTTCTCAGTTCATCGCGCAGACAGGAATAAATATCTCTCCGGGAAGCAGAAGGGTGGAGGTGGGTGTTTCTTGATTAACGACT